TGAGGTGGTTGTTGTGGGGAAAATAGGAGGAGGAAGGAATATTAGGTATGTTTGCCCCCTTGAGTTATTTATAAAAAATAATGAAGGTGGGATAATTTTTTTTTTTTTAAATTAAGTTTGAAGTTTTTAAGAGAGAAAAAAGCATGTAGTTAAATTTCTTAGGAAATCTAAAATGTCTGTTTCGTCAGTTCCTGTTAACAGTTATCAGACTGGTTAACTGTTCAATCATTTGACATTGAAGAATATCAGATTGTTGTTAGGTAGATCTTAAATCATAAGTATGCAATGCAGGACCTCTTCCACCAGCTTTTAAGATTTTTTTTAATTAAAAAAAGGAATTAAATGGAAAGCTAAGATATTGAGAAGCAAATCATTAGCTTCTCAGCATCATTATTTCCAGGTGTGTCTCTGAGGCCTGCATACAATTCACAGGCATTCTTGGAAAATTAAAGAATAAGTAGCTGCATCTCTCTGCGGCCTACCCAGAGAAAAAGGACAAAGGTAAGTGGAGGGGTAAAGAATATCCAGAGGGTCTACAAGGAGAAGACATAGAGCAACCTTATCAATTGTTTCCAAAGTTACTATTTCACACTGGCACTTATGAAATTCAACAGACGTGGGCCTTATCGTTTTATTTATTTTCTTTGCAGAACCCAAGTGGCAAGAATGATAAGAAAATTAAGGTGAGAATAGAAATGCTGGAGCATGATGGGACTATGGGAGGTGTGTGGCCAGAAGGATCTGTGAAGCAGGAAGGAGAATGGAAACTCACCGTCATACTGACATGCCATAGTTAATTTATCTGTATTGTTAATTTGTCTGCAGTAATTGGCACTGCTTGGTGACAATATTAATACGGTGTCCCAGGAAACAACCCATGGATGGGTTGGGAAGCGAAAAAATAACTCCACATTAGACCTCATGCTTCAGCCTTGAAGTTAGCTTTCTTGACAATATACTGTACGGCAGAACAGCATTAGGAGCACTACGCACACACCCCTGCATAGACACATATATGTATAGGCATACACTGCCCAGAGTGCAGGATATATGTACCATAAAGGAATAATTCTAAAATAAAATGTGGAACATGTGCTCCAACCAGTTTTGGAATAATTTCCCAGAAGATTATTCTTTGCTCTAGCAATAACAGAGCTATGGCAGCTTAAAGAAGCAACAAACTTGATTAGGCATGAACTTTCATAGCCTAGAGCTACTTCAGGTTTATCATTGCTGGATTTTTTAATATATATATACATATATATACACACACACACACATACATACACATATACACACACATACATACATTAATTGAGATAACTGTTTTTATCTTTGTGTTAGTGTTAACTTAAGTAAAGCTAGGGTGGTTATTTTTTCCTCAGTTATCTAATGGTCATTGGGTTGATTTTGCATACGTTCCAGTTCTAATGTAATTTCCTTTTTTCCCCCTCTATAAAGTAATTTCCTTTTTTTTCCCTCTCTGTATTGCTGAGAATGCCATTTCATCCATCCGATTCTAACCATATCACCAAGAATGCCATTTCATCCATCTGATTCTAATACTTGAAAACCAGTGCCACAAGAGTCACTTCTCCTCATTCAGTACCTCTCTCCTCCTCCTCCTCCTCCTCCTCCTCCTCCTCCTCCTCCTCCTCCTCC